GTATAGTTTAAAAAAGAGTTTTCAATAATGATCATCAAACAAGGGTTTAACAAGTTATAGAACGGGAATTTTGCTTAAAAGTTCTAGTAAACAATAATGTTCAGCTCTTGTTTGATGGGATTAAAAAATTAATTTTTTAGTAGATTTTAATAGAAGTAGATGAAAGGTGTGGTTGAAGAGTCGTGGAACCCATAAAATGTGTAGATTAAAATTAATTACTAATTTTTACGTAAATTCTAGATTTTAATCGATTCCAAACAGAAGATTAGGGAAAAGACTTCCACTCAATACCTTTTGGTAAAATATACTTTAGGGGTTTTGATGAGTTCAAATGATCTTTATGTTTTTTGATTAGTTTGGCTAATCTTATAAAAATACTTTTTCAGTTAAAATAGATTTTAAAGGAAGTTAGTTCAATGTGACTTCTTCTCAAAGCGCTTCCGGAATTAAAACAAAAAAAAAAAACTCTTTTATAAATTAGTTTCCAAACAAAAATTAAGATAACTTTATCGGAAGACTCTTCTACAAAAAAGCAAAAAATAAATGGTGCATTTGATTACCAATATTTTTCATGAAAAATGTCATGTTTCCATTCAAATTCATACTTTTATACTGTTTGATTGATATTTTTTTTTTATGAAAAATATTTTTCTACTTTTGGTCATATGATCATATTTTCCTTAAAAACAATGGAAAAATTCTTTAAGAGAAGTATGCTTTCAAGGAAAAATTCATATCTCAAGTGTAAAGTATATTTCAATTCAAAACTCAGACAATAAATTTAAATTTTCAAATCTTTGGTGATTACTAAATAATTAAATATATTTTATTAATTAAATATATTAAGTTCATGGTCACAATTACATAATTATTGGTCACATACTATCAAATTAATTGGTCACAAATTATTTTTTGATCATATATTAAAAATATTATACGTCATAAAATTTATTGGTCACAAATCATAATTTTTATAGGTCCCGACTTACGTAGTGGTTATAGATTTTCGGATTAGTTGGTCATAAATTATTTTTGGGTCATGAATTGTCAAATTTTTAGCTCACAATTAAAAAGGTAGTTACAAATAACCCAATAGTCACATACACCAAACACTTCACCCCCATCCACTACCAATACTTGGTCAAAAATCAAGTATATAATTGGTCACAAACACTTAAATAGTTGGTCATAAACACTTTTCATCCCTGCCACCATCAACACAACACCATCGCCATCAACCACCAACACCATCATCATCTTCATCGACTACCACTATCCGACCAGTATTGCCAGTATCACCACTGCCTCACCACCACAAGCAGCATCACAACCATCACCACCCAACTACAAACACTACCACAATTTGCAAAACACCACCAGCTACCCCCCAAAACTTTAGATTTTCACCACCAACACCCAAAATAGCCCACAACAGATTGGAGGAAAGAAACACCAAGTAACTGTGGCTACAACGATGACTAGAGTACATAGATCTGCGCACACACCACTGTCGTGGCGGGGGTGACTGAAGTGCGGAGTCACCCTAGACATATTGGAGGGAAGAAACACAACATCCACATTATCGCCTTTCTTCATTGCTACAGTCGCCAGGTAGCGCATATAGTGCCATCACAGCGCGCGACGATTGGAGCATGGAGTTGCGCTCAGCATTACCACTTACAGATTGAAGAGAGGGAAAGTGGGAGAAGAGATTCTGTAATAGGAGTGAAATCGAGATTCTGTAACCTAAAACGACATGTTGCCATTTTAAACAATTGGGTGTCATAATTTCGTATCTGTTTAACTTTATGTTTACTCGTATTCACGTGAAATGAACCCATATCTACAATCTACTTATTGTTTAAGATCAGAAAAAATATTTTTTGAATAAAAGGACTAGGGATTGATGTCCTACCTTCCTGGGGAAGTCAACTTGGCTAGTTTTATCTTCTTTATTCGATATTAATAGCACTTAATCGCATCACGAGGATCAGTTCATCCCCTTCTCCCCTGGTCGGGGTCAATCCTACTACGATTAGAGATTTGTATTCGCTCTGGGAATAGAATATGATTGTATTATAACTTTTTGTTTCCATAGGCCTGTGTGCTATATTCAATCACATTTGTCTATATTCAATCACATTTAGTAAAATCATATTCTTCGCTCTTCTTTGCACTTATGATAAAAAAATTTGTTTTAACGTCATAACTTGGTTAGATCGAGATTTGAACTTTAAGATGTCGTTTATTCTATTACCATGCTAAATCACACAGTCTAAAAATTTAAGTATTGCATATGAGACTATAGGTCGAGGGCTTAGAGCATTACCCTATAAATTGAAGAGCTTTATAGATCTTTTTAACTTTTTTGTTGCGGATGCAACTTAAAATGCAAAGCACATGGATATGCATGCAGTTCTGAGATAGTTCATAGTTTGCGAAAAACGCATGCTCGAGAAAATGGTGTCTAACATGGATCTTGTGATTTAGGGTGTGTTTGAGGTGTAATTTTGAAAAATGTATTATAGAATAACTGATTGATAGAGAATGTGTGGTTAAAAAATAAGATTTTTTTAATTTGCGTGTAATATTATTTTAATGAAAATTTGTGGTTGAAAGTGAGTACTGTAAAAGAAATAATGTGGTAGAATGTAAAATAAATGGATAACAAACTAGGGGCTTAATTCTATGCAATAATCTTATTAGAAGTTGACACGTTAAAAATTAAGGCCATGTTTGATAGCCAATTATTTTCCATGAAAAATGGAATTCAAATTCCAAGTTCCACTTTTTGGCTGTTTGATAGCTTTTTTCCATGGAATTGATTTTTCCACTTTTTTTGCCACCTAGATATTTTCCATCTTTTCCTTGGCTATTATGTGCCTTTTTTTTGAAAAAAAAAATAAATAAATTTTGGCAATGGAAACAAATTCTATTCCTAATTGTAAAAAAAAAATATTTTCCTTTAATTGACAATTTTCATATAAAACAAAGCCATACGAACACTAAAAGATAGATAATTTTTTTTTGATAATAAAAACAAATTGCATCTCTAATACCAGTAAATTCTATCATTTTAATTGACAATTTTCATATAAAACAATGCCAAACGAACACCAAAAAACGTTTTTTTCAACATTTTTTATGTAGAAAATTATACCAATCAAACACACTTCTAGGCAATTCAATTCTCTGAAATTTATTTTCTTTCCAACCAAATTTCATCTCTGCAATCAAATGAACCCTAAAATTTTCTTTGCTTTTCTATGTCTAGTAATTGTCTACTTTGAACTCTTGTCTAGATTGTTATTATTTTTTGATCAAGTTTTCATATTGAATTGTTTTTTTACTATTTCTTATGGTGAGTGATATCTAAGTCAAGGCGTATCATATTTTCCATTCAATTGCAGTACAAGAACGTTTTCTTCTTGGAGGTGATTCCTGGATAAATCAAATCAAGTTACACTCTTACCCACAAAATCATAAAATAATAAACTTCAACGTATAACATTAATTATCACATGACAAGCGATCAACAAGTACCTAAGAAGTCTATGTAAGTTTTGAATCGAACGATCCCATCACACATATGTAAAAGAGGAAACCTTAATATAAGATATTGCGCATTTAAATGCATCT